GCTCTTCCTGAGAGGGGGTGCCGAAGCTCAGGTCAGAGATGCCCTGGGCCACGCAGGCTGGCTCCTGCAGAAGTGAGTGTGCAGCCCCTCCCCCAGGCCTACTGCTGGCCCTCGGGCATCACATCACCTCAGGCTGTCAGCACCTGGCTCTCAGTGTCCTGTCACAGTGGCTCACGCTTCACATGTGTCCCAGCCTTGAGTCTTGCACCAGGAAGCTTTCAACATTGCCATTATACGAATGACATTTTATTTGTAAAAAGAAGTATTTTCATAATTAAAAAATACATACATCATCCACATTTTCACTGTTTCTTTCTCGAGGAACTTTAATTCAAAAATGGCTGGAATGTAAAGGGACACAAAGGACCAGAGTGACCTGCAGACAGCAAAAGAAGGCACTGACCTACTGGGGTCTCACTCTAGGATCAGGGAGGCGTTGAGTGCTTTGGACCGCAGGTTCCGCGTCTCCTCGACTACCTTTTCTCTCACCTTCTCTGCTGGCTGTGCTTGGTCTTTCGCTTCTCTGCAGGTTGGAAAACCCCGACAAGGACATGTGAGGGCCCTTAATAAAACATCTCAGTCACCCACCAACTCCCAGCACTGCTGCAGAAGGTTGGAGCAGGGCCTTTGTCTTTTAATGAATAAAGGTCTTGACTGGGACCAAAAGATGGTGTAATGGATATGTTGCTGGATTCCCACATAGTCGACCGTGGTTCGAGTCCTGGGTCCAGTGGCTTAAAACTCATACTGGGTGTATGTGTGTGGGAGCCCAAGATCCTGAGAGGAGAGTGGAAGAGAAGGGATTGCAGCGTGGCTGTGCCTCCTGGGGGGTGATTTCTCACTTCCTGTCTCTCTGGCAAGTGCATGTGCCATATAGCAAAAAATCTCTCTTAAAAAAAAAGTTTTGATTATATTTAGCAATACTTTAGTTACCAGTGAAAACACTTGGCTTCTATATCTATATGAATGATCTAAACCTAACTTCCAATCTTAGCTGCACCAGTTTCTTTTTTTAAAACTTCTTTTTTTTTTTTTTCCCTCTCCTTTAATTTGCTAGAGGGGAAACCAGCATTTAACATAATGGCTATGTCGCTGGACTACCATGTAGTTGACTGTGGTTCAAGTCCCGAACCTGGTGGCTTAAACTCATGCCGGGTGCGTGTGCGTGTGTGCCCAAGATCCCGAGAGGAGAATGGAGGAGAAGGGATTGCGGCGTGGCCATCCCCCCTGGGGGATGATTTCTTGCCTTCTGTCTCTCTATCTCTCTCTGTCTTTCCGGCGAGCACATGCGCCCTATAGCAAAAACCTCTCAAAAAAAAAAAAAAAAAGAATTTGCTAGAGGGCATGTGTGCTTGCCAGAGAGAAAGGGAGAAATCATCCCGAGTGGAGCATGGTCATGCTGCAATCCCTTCTCCTCCATTTCTCCAGCCCATTGGAGTTTTTTTTGGCACACTAGCACATGTGCCTGTTATGTTTATCAAGCTGCCAGGCCCAGAATTCGAACCACAGTCGAACTAGATGGGATCTGGCTCCCTTAACTACAAGGCCATAGGGCTGACCCATTTTCTTTTTCGAAAGTCAGCTTATTTATTTCTCCAGAGAGAGAGAGAACTCCTGACAGGGTCTTGATGCCGTGACCCACTCCCAGCCTTCAGCGTTCACTCTTGGCATCTTATTTAATCCTCACAACTTAATCTTCTGCCTGTTACAGGTGAGGAAACTGAGGCCCCAAAAAGATAAGTAACTTAGCTCAAGATCTCACATGTGACAAATGGTGGAGCTGGATCAGCCCCAGGTCTGGTCTGCTCCAGAGCCTGGATTCCTTACACTGAGTGAACTCAGTTAGCTATTTGTAAGGAGCAAACACGTCTCTGAAATGGAATGGTGAGCAAATGGGAAGATGGGATTCAGAACTGAAAGGCCTACTTGTCAACAATTTCAAGGAGTATAACCGTGCATAAAATAAAATACGCATCTAAATATATGATGTATCAGGAACGTATCTGTTTTGAAGCTTCAGATATCTAGATTCAGAAAATGTGACAGTTGTGGACGTCATGTAGTATAAATCTAATCCAAGGCTACTTCTTAGTAAGGCATGAAAGCGTCTACTTACTTTTCCTTCTTGGTGTCCTTGTGGTCCAGTATGGGGAATTCTGCTTGGATCATTTCTGGAGTCAATGTAACTTCTACATTCTGTTCACAGAGCTCACTGAAAAGCAATAAGATGTTTAGCAGAAACTGCTTTTCCTTCTCAATTTCAAAAATAGAATGAAATAACATGATTCATTTAGGAGTTATGCAATTCTTGTGGCTTTCAATGTTAGTTCCATCTTCTTTTGTTGAGTCTATGTTAAGAGAAGCATAAGGCTGACAAATTGCTTGCCACCAACAACGAATGGTAGGGATAATGCTAGTTATTTATAATCAGAGAAGAAAAAGCAATTTTTAAATAGGGGCTACAGAATTCATACTCTTTGTAGGTACAGGTGGAACATTTACCAAAGTGACCATATCTTGGGCTATAAATGGTGTGTTCTCTGACCACAATGGAACTAGAATGGAAATCAGTAGCAAAGCAGATAGCTAGAAAGTCCATAATTGCTTTAAAATTAAACAATGTATTTCTAAACAGTCTATGAGTGAAAGAAGACTTCATGTAGTATAAATTAATATAAATTAAATATAAATGTAAAATATAAATATATATATACATATATAAATATAATCTATATGTGTGTGTATGTGCTATATATATAAATTAAGGCGATCTAGATTATTTTTTATCTTGGGGTACACTTTCCCCTAGGGTCAGCAAAATTTCTCTATAAAGACTTTGCACGTGATCCATTCTCTGTCACACTACTCAACTCTGCTCTTGTGATATGAAAGGAACCATACAAAACACATAATTGAGGTCTAGCCTTGTGTTGCAATAGGTAGCTAACTGAACTGCAATGCTGGAAGCCATAGAGTTGACCATGGGTTCAGGTGCCCAGGTTGGCCTGAAAACACACCAAGTGTTTTTTTTTTTTAATTTGCTCTAGGCATATGTGCTCACCAGAGAGAGAGAGAGACAAAGAATGAGAGAGAGGGAAAGTAAGAAAGCAAGCTGCCAGGTCTGGGACTTGAATCATGGTTGGCCATGTGGGAGTCCAGAGCCTTAAACACCAAGCCAACTGCTGGCATCCTCATCTTCCCTACTTTTTTTTTTTTTCCTCCTTCAGAGAGATTTTTGCTATAGGGTGTGGGTGTTTGCCAGAAAGACAGAGAGAGACAAAAAGAAAAAAATTGAGAAATCACTCCCTGGTGGGATGGCCATGCCACAATCTCTTCTCCTCTATTCTCCTCTTGGGATTTTGGGCATGAGTTTTAAGCCACTGGGTCCGGGATTTGAATCATGGTCGACTATGTGGGATTCCAGCCACATAACCATTATGTCATCTGCTGGTCTCCTTCTCTACTTTTTGTATAAAAGTGAATGAAACGAAACCAATTGGGACATGACTATCTCTTCATATCTTGGAAATCTATTTTGTATTTTCTCTCATTCTTATTTCCTTTCAATGTTACTATTGGGTGAAATGACATCTGTTCAAAATTGGGTCTATTGGTTGCCTCCCAACTTTCAGATATTGGGCTAGTGGTTTGGAATACAGGGCCATCTACTTATAGCCCTAATTATCAAGACCTTACTCTGTGCCAGGCACTTGACTAAACACACTTTACACATATTCATTCATTTGCTCTTTACAGCCACCCATGAGAGGGGTCCTGGGGTCATCCCATTTAAAAGATGAAAACATTGAGGCACTGGGACCAGTGGTTGGTGTAATGGCTATGTCGCTGGACTCCTATGTAGTCAACCACAGTTTGAGTCCTGGACCCGGTGGCTTAGACTCACGCTGGGCGTGTGTGTGTGTGCAAAATATCCCGAGAGGAGAATGGAGAAGGGATTGCGGCATGGCCATTCCCCCGGGGGGTGATTTCTCACTTTCTGTCTCTCTCTGTCTTTCTGGCACGCACACGTGCCCTATAGCAGAAACCTCTCCCAAAAAAAAGAAAAAAAGGGAAAAAAGAAAAGAAAACGTTGAGGCACTGAGAGCAGTGAAGTCACTTGTCCAAGGAGTACTGAGAGTGAGTGATGGGCGGGGCTTTCCAGAAGCTTGGGGGACGGGAGATCAGAGGTGGTGCTAAACGGCGGCGTGGGAAGGTTCAGGGTCACGTGACCTGTACCTTCATCACTGTTATACAACATCTCAGATGCTCTACAATCATTCTAATGGAATCTAAATTTTAATGAAAGATGGGTATGCATAAAACTTTATGCTATGTTGGTTAATTAAACTAGAAAGCTTAAATGGATTTTACTCTTGCCTGGGGGAAATTGCCTGCTAAAACAGATGGACCTCTCATTTCCTCCCTGAAATTACATGGTGATATAATAAACAACTAAGTCTATTTTTAAAAAGGAGAAAGTATGACTGAGATTTAGAGGCATTTGCAAATGGGACGACCGCAGGGGATCCGGCTGGAGACGTGTGCACCAGGTGTTCGGGTGCCGCTCGCTGAGGTGCTCCCGAAGGAGAAGCTGCTCCAGGACAAGCGCACCTGCCCTGCGTGGCCCAGATGGCCCATTCTGGAGCCCACTGCTGAGTCTTTTGCCATCAGGTTGAAAAGGCACCGGGACAAGACGTTCGAGGGCATCTCTTCACTGGCCATTGGATGTTGATCAGTCAAGTCAAAGCTAAGTAGGCACTTTCTTGGCTTCCGTTTCTTTATGCCTTCCAAACCCTGCCCATCTTTCCTGTGCTAGCCCAAGTCCACACGGCCACTGAAGCCTCTCAAGCTCATTTAGCGTCCCCTCCGATCTCCTTCAGAGTATCTACCCATCAGCAGGTCTTAGACGTTAGGGACGACCTAGGACCATCGTGAGCTCAACATCTTGTCCAGGTGTTGGTGTTAGCCTCATTTGGTTGCAAACCCAAGTACCTGGAGCTCACCTGAAGACCTTCGCGACACCGTGAGCAGTTTTGAAAAACAGACATTAGAGATGAAAATGGGAAAAAATACCGTTCAGCTATTTCTAGTCTGTCCTCTTCTGGTAAGGCGTCAACAATGGCAGGGACGTCTATAGGGAGCATGACTGAATTGAAGAAATCACAACTGTGGAAAAATCACACAGATAGCCAAGAATAAATGACCACATTAGCAGTTCTGAGGTCTTCACATAACTTATTAAAACGTGTTTTAAATACTTTTTAAAATCTATACTCATAATAGTGTGCGTATGCATGGAAATGAAAGTAATAGAGAGAGAAAGAAGAGAGAGAAGCACCCTCCATGGGGGCTGGTCATGTCACAATCCCTTTCCAGCCCTTTGGATCCTGGGCACTTGTGCATGTGTTTGGTGCGTTTCAGGCTGATTGGCCAGGGATTCAAACCACAGTCACCATGTGGATTCCAGCTTCTCTTGAAAGGCACATCACTGCTGTGCCGTGGAGCTGACCCCTAAGGCATTTGTATTTCAACCCTGGTGAGGCCTCTGCTACTCAGTCTTCCCTCCCTCCTGAAAGTCAGGTCTCCTGAGGAGCACAGGCAGGGGGTGCAAGAGGGCCTGGCGGTAGCCGGGAGAATGTTACAAACAAGACGTTTTTCAGGAATGTAAAACCAGAATCATTGGATTTCAGTTGGTAGTGTCTAAAATTACATAATTTCCTGGGGAGGAGAGTTGTTAGTTTAATCTTTGTTCTTAGTATTTCCCCACTTTTATACTTCCTCTAGGCATTCTATCCAATTTTAAGCCTTCCCCCTCACCCTCTATGTACTGCTTGGTATTTTAACTTCAGTGCTTTATGTAACAATCCCCGGGTGTTGAGGACAGTAGAAGAATTGATCTAAGGAGAGAAAATTACATTGCTATTTTAAAGGCCGACGGCGGACTGCTGTTTCAGGCGCACTTGCTTTCTTTGCTCTCAACTCCTTCCTCAAAAACCTCTCAAAAATGTTTTGCCTTAGGGTTCATGGTCTTGCCAGGGAGACAGAGAGAGAGAGATAGACAGTGAGAAAGAAAGTGAGAAATCACCCACCAGGGGGATGGCCATGCTACAATCTCTTCTCCTTCATTCTCCTCCTGAGATCTTGGGCACGTATGTATACAAGCCTAGTGTGAGCTTCATGCCACCAGGTCTGGGACTTGAACCACAGTTGGCCATGTAGGAGTTCAGAGATGTAACCATTATGACATCTTCTGACCCCATCAAATGATTTTAAAGGAATAAAATTAAATACACAACAGCTAAGAGAGGAGGAAGAGGAATGCTATCAGTGAATAAAATTATCAACAATTTTCTGAAAGAAATTTCTAGAAGTGTAGAAGAATGCTGTCACTGGAGAAAAAAGCAAAGGAAGACCCTTGGAGCACATATGGAAGGGAACGGAACTGCTCACAGATGCTGGAAAGGCTGCAGGCAAGGCGGGAGGCTCATACAAGGGACTTTAACAGGTTCGTGAAAAATGGAGTGTAAGTATGAGTTTCCTTTGGTGCAAAAATTCTGAAACCCATGCATAGTTTTATTTTATTTTCCAGAAACTTTGGAAGATCCCATGTGTATCTCTGAGATAAGGTTATTCTCTTTATTTTGTTCTTGTGCATAAATGCACCTGCTTGCCAAGTACGCAAGCGGGGGGCTGAAAAAGCGGGGGCATTATGATTTTTTTTTTTTTTTTTTGCTATAGGGTACATGTGCTCACTGGAGAGACAGAGAGAAATACAGAGAGAAAGGGAAAGTGAGAAGGCATCCTAAGCGGGGAAGGTCATACCACAGACCCTTCTCCTCCGCTCTCCTCTCAGGATTTTGGACCTACATGTTCACACGCTGGACAAAATTTTCAAGCCTCTGGGTCTGGGACTTGAACTGTGCAGTCGGCCACGTGGGATCCAGCTGCCTTAACCACTACCATGCTGCTGGCTGGCCTGGCATTGTGATTTTCACAGAGGGAAATAAGAATGAGGAAAGTATCTGTGATTTTCAGGAGATACTAAGTGAAAAAAGCAAATGCAGCAGAACAGAGCAAGAGCGGCTTTTCCTTTTGTGTTAGAAAGAAAAAGGAGAACTAATGAAGATATATATGTCTTTCTTGGCATTACAAAGAAAAACTCAGGAAGGGTAAGTTTAAAAGGCCAGGCTGGTTACCCACCAGGGACGGAAGGAAGATGGGAAGGAGTGGCTTTTTGTGTAGTATTGAGTTTGAAAAATACATTAATGTTCCTCTCTCACTGTCAATGTCTTTCTCTGTCTCTCTGGCAAGTGCACACAATCTAAGGCAAAACTTATTAAAAAAAAAACCCCAAACCTCCAACCCCCCCAAACAAACAAACAAATAACCCAAATGCTGAAAACAAACTGAAACAAATAGTAATATTTCACATGAATTCCATAACTGTATTGGCAGAAAAGGAAAAGAGAGCTAGAGATGGAAATGAAGAGAGAACAAAGATGGGAGAGAAAAGAAAGAACCCAGTAGTTCCTAAGTGTAGTATTTGACTATATACTCACAATTCGGGCTGAGATGAGGGTAGGGGGAAATCTAAAAATATATCTGAACTCTATCTATTATTTTCATTTATTAAGGTGGTTTTGGATGGAGCAATTCTTTTTTCTTAGAGATTTTTTTTTTTTTTTTTTTGCTATGTGGTGCCAGAAAGACAGAGAGACAGAAAACGAGAAATCACCCCACAGTAGGGATGGCCTTGCCTGAATCCCTTCTCCTCTTGGGATCTCGGGCACACATGCACACGCGCCTGGCGTGAGTTTGAACTAACGGGTCTGGAATTCGAAACACAATAGATTATATGGGAGTCCAGCAACATAGCCATTACTCCCACTACTGGTCCCAGGGATGAAGCAATTCTGAAACTATTTAAAAATAAGAGTGGACTTCAAAAAGTTTGTTCAAAAAAACTGAAAGTATGAGTTCATTTGGTGCAAAATATTTCCAAATCCATGCACTTTTCTATAATGTGCATTTTTCATGAACTTTTAGGAGAAGTCTCTTATATAAGAGGGACTAGGTAATATGTTAGGAGCCAGAGTTCTCACAGAGGAAGAGGGAAGACACAAATATAGAATGGTGGAAGGCAAGAGATAAGTCTGCAGACTGGAGTTACACTACTGGCATAAACTCATGACTTCTGACAAAGACTCCAGGTCTGAGTTAAATATTCCGTGGAAACTTCAGATTGTGTTAGTTCCCTGCATGGAAGAGGGCCTGAGACCAGGCTGGTCTGGGAAGATGGATTGGCAACAGCACCGTTTTCATGAGGCAAAACGAATCCAGTTTTAAAAATCTAAAACTATGTTTCTCACTTTCCAGGTGAGTTAACATATTCTTTTCTTCCTATTTTTTCCAAGTCATCCATTTATTATTATTATTTTTTGATGGGGGACCTATAAGAGAGTCCCCACACTACACTCTACTCCCAGGCTCAGGAGGCCTGGACTGAGGGCATGCACTCACTCCACACGTGTGGGGTGGTCATGGCGTCAAAGCTGAATTACCACTCCACATGGCCCTGTCAATATATGTAAAACTGAAATGATGGGCCTAGCCCTTTAGACCATTGGTAATGCACTGCTCAAGAGAAGCCAGATCCTACAGACCAAAGCTGGAGTCACCTGGCTAGGCAGTCTGAAACATGCCAGGCATGCACATGAGTGACCAAGATCCAATGGGTGGGAAGGCCGGAGGAGGGCACTGTAGCATAGCCAGAGCCTGTAGAGGGTGCTCATCTCTCATTCTCTGTCTCCCACCTTCTCGTGCGGATGCACATGCTCTCTCATGAATATGGAAAACTGAAACGATGATGACAGTACATGATGGTTGAGTGTTTTTGTTTTGTGTTATTTATGTTTTGAGAGATTTTTGCTATGAGGCATGTGCACTCACTGGAGAGAGAGACAGAAAGTGAGAAATTTACCCCCCCCCCCAGAGGAGGGGGCCATGCTGCAATCC